CCGCCGCCGCCCGCCGCCGAGCTGCCGAGCTTGAAGGCGGCGGCGCGGGACGCGCTCCGCGCCGCGCAGGGGCGCGAGGACGCGGATACCGGGCCCCTCGCCCTCGAGAACGCGGCGCTCCGCGAGATGCTCCGCGAGAGACTGGCGCGGCAGCAGCGCGGCATCGCGGCTCCCGCGCCGGCGCCGCCGCCCGCGCCCTACGGCGTCCACCCCTACGGCAGCCACTACGCCGCGCCCTACGGCGGCTTCGCGCTCGACCCCTACGGCAACCCCATGCTCCCCTACGGCTTCACGCCGCCGCCCCAGTTCATGGCGCCGCCCCGCGGCGCGCCCATGCACGGCTACCCGGCGCCCTACGGCGGCCCGCCGGCGCCGCCGTCGGAGCCGACGGGCGAGGTCGCGCCGGAGCTCGGGTGGTCCGAGCTCCCGCTCGGCCGGTGGAAACGGACCCAGCTCAAGAAGCTCTGGGCCGACGGCGCCGGCATCGAGGACTGGGGGCGGTTCCGCGCGGACAACTTCGTCTTGTTCCACGCGTTCTCGCCCGAGGACCTGAAGCGGAAGTACGAGGAGATGGAGGGGCTCTCAGGCTAGGAGGCCTTCTAGGCAGCCAATTAATCCTAGCGGCCAGCTTCTTCAATAAGAAGCGGCGCGTCCAAAAACTAGGAGTCCGCCGGCGACTACTACTTCCCGGGGTCACGGTGGTTTCCCGGTTAATCGCTCATCCTCCGCGCCTACCGCCTAGAATGTTACAACTGCAGAAGGTCAAAGTCGTCCAGCTTGTTGTTGTACTTGGCGATGTGTCGTCGCTGGGACGCGTCGCCGGCCCAGGTGACGAAGTCCTCCATGGACCGCGTGACGAGGAACGCGGAGTCTGTGATGACCGTGGGCCCGACGCGGACGTCGCCGCGCTCGACGAAGGAAACGGCCTCCTTGACGGACTGGGCCATCTTGAGGCGGACGAGGATGACTGGCAGCCGGCGGCGGCAGAACGCCGAGACGGAGACCTTCTCGGCCTTCGCGAGGCCCGCGTCCGAGTCGACGAGGCCCATGGCGAAGAGCTTGCGGAGCAGGAGCTCGCTGAGCTCCTCGCGCTGCGCGTCGTCGGGCTTGAGGGCCTTGAGCTTGGCGACCATGGACGTCACCTGCCCGACCAAACGCGAGTACTTCACGTAGTCCTCGCGCTTCGTGACGTGGTACCGCCGCAGCACCTGGGCCTCGCGCAGCGTGTTGTCCGACTTCCACTGGAGAAAATCGACCTTCCGCAGCAGCTTCGACTCGTGGTGCTTGAGCTTCATCGTGTTGTTGCTCTCCGGGCGCGCGGCGACGGCGGCCTATCGCCGGTTCACACGGAGCGCGACGTGTAGCACGCGCTGCAGCGATGCGCGCGGGCACTTCCGGCGGCCGTTCGTGAACGATTGCAAGCGGTGCGGGCTCGCGGCGGGCAGCTCGCGGCGGTCGCTGTGCTCGTATATCGCTCAGCACATCGGGACGCTCGGACTGCTCGAGATGCCGCGGCCGGGGCTCTTGGCCTGCGCTGCGACTCGGGCGGCGCGTGCGCAGCGGCGCATTTTCCGACAGGGTCCACATCGTCGTCGCCACCGTTGCAGTCGCCAGTGCATTCGTCGCCGCCGCAGCGCGCCCGGGCAGCGACGCCCTGGCGGCGACGCGCCGCGCGCGCGGCAGCATTCGCGGGGGAAGCTCAGCCACATGCGTCACTTCGCTCCACCGAGCAGCGGTTAGTGACAGACGCTTACCGCTACCCTACGCCTTCGGTTGCACGCGGTACTCCTCCGGGACCTATGGACCAAAAAGTCGGCGCGCGGTGCTCAAAAGCGCGAACAACCCACCCGGTAGATCTCGGGCATCGAATTCCGCTTCACCCACCACGACATGCACTGCGAGCGGGCGTAGGAGTCGACGGACGCCGCGCGCCGGGAGCGCGCACCTTTTTGTAGGTGCCGAGCGTCTTCGCGCACTCGACGAGACCGCGGCGGCCCGCGTCCGCGTCCTGCGAGCGGATTTCTTCGCATCGCGCGCCGGCAGTCTGAAGCGCGCGCGCACCGCGGTGTCGGGCGCCTGCGCGCCGGCGGCGGCGAAGCACTCGAAGAACGCGTTCGCCTGCTTCGCGCAGCCCTTGGGCGCCAGCGGGAAGTAGTCCGGCAGGCGCGGCTGCTCCTCGTCGGACATTTGTAGCGCGCAGCGCAGCGCGTCGCAAGCGAGCGCGTCGCGTGCACGCTAGCGTTGCAACGAGCTCTGGCGGCGCGCCCACGCAGCGAGCAAGCACGCGGCTGAGTCGACGCGCAGAGAAGATGCAACGAGTGCATGGCCGGCTTGTTGAACCAGCAGGCCGTCTCGCGTCCGCGGACGAGATCAGATCTGCCGCGCGCGCGCGAGCGCGACGCGCTCGCACCCGCGTCGACGACTGCAAGCAGCGGTCTTAGTAAGACGGAGCAGGGAAGCGACACAGTGGGGACCCATCACAAAGCGACACAGAGCGACACAGTGGGGAAGCGACACAGTGGGGAAGCGACACGGTGGGGAAGCGACACAGTGGGGAAGTACAGGACAGAGCGGTGGACCGTGAGCCCCAATCCGAGCCCAAGGAGCGCATGAAATGATGAAGCGGCCAGTCCCAGAACTCGAAGACCGACACGACGACGGCGTGGGGCGCCGCGCGTCCGACGCCGACGAACTTGGAGAACAGCAGCACAGGGCGGGGAGCGCGTCGCCGCGTCGGCTCGAGCCGACGCGCGCGCGCGGAGAGAACATGGTGGCGGCGGCGAGGACGCGGTCGCGGGAAGGGGGGGAGTATGTACAGGTAGACAGCGCGGCAAGGCGCGACGAGCCTGCCGACGAGGCCAGCGCGCCCGGCGGAGCGCGGTCGCGAAGCCGCCGCTCAGCGGCCCGGGCGCAGCTTCGGGACGCCGCGCAGCTTGGCGGCCGGCGGCACCGCCGCGACGTCGCGGCGCTTCAGCCAAAGCGGACGTAGCACCCCGTGTCAACGTCCCAGATGTGCACCTCGCCGTCGTCGCCCGGCGGCGGCGGGTCCTCGTCGTCGTCGTCCGCGGGCAGGCGCGGCTTCGGGACGCCGCGCAGCTTGGCGGCCGGCGGCACCGCCGCGACGTCGCGGCGCTTCAGCCGCGCTTCGTCCGCCTCGTCGCGGTCGTGCTTCGCGTGGACGTGGCGACCCTCGTCCTCGTCGATGACCTCGCCGGGGGTCTCGGGCATCGCGGGGCGCGCGTCGGCCGCCTCCGTCGCGGCGGGCCAGGGGTCGAAGGCCGCCGTCTCGTCGGCGTCGGCCGCCTTCTCGTGCGTGTCGCGCGCCGCGGCGACGGCGTCCGATGGGAGGCGCGCCGCGGCGATGGCGTCCGCCGCGAACTGCTTGGCTTTGTTCGAGATGTCCGAGGATTGCTGCTGGCGCGGGCCCGCGACGGGCAGCCGCGGCCGGCCCGCCTGAATCACGTGGTTGCGCACGTCGGCGGCGTAGGTCGGCTCCGCGAGCGACTCCGCGACGGCCGTTACCTTGACCTCCATGTCCGGGAAGGCGACGGTATCCTCGTCGCCGTCGTCGTACTTGACGCGCGCCAAGTCCGGGCCGAGGCGCTCCACGATCTTGCCCGGGTACCACGTGTCGCCGTCGAAGAGCGTCTCGACGCGCGAGCCCGGCGGCGGCGCCGCGGGCGACTCCGCCGGCGACGCGAGCGCCCACCGCCACTGGCGCCCCGCGACGACGAACGACGGCGGCGACGACGCGAGCTCGAGCTTGACGCACCGCGTCTCGCCGGCGAGGAGCATCATCCAGGGCTCCGCCGACGTCCCGCACAGCAGGACGTCGAAGGGCACCTCGCCGCCCTCGAGCAGCTTGGCCCCCTCCGCCCCGTCGAGCACGCGCGTCGCCCCGAGCGCCTCGAGCTGCTCGAGCAAAGGGCCGCGCTCGCCCAAATCGCCGGTGATCCACACGCGTGGATAGCGGCGGGGGTCGAGCCTGTCGCCGACGGCGACGACGCAGCCGTCGGCGTGCTTCAGCGGCGCGATCTTGTCCGGCGGGACGATCTCGTAGTCGCCGTGCTCGCCGCGGCCCTTGGCGTCGAACTCGATGAACAAGGCGGCGCCGGCGTAGCAGACCTCGAACCGCTTCACGAAGCCGTTGCCCGGCCGCTCGTTGAAGATCTCGACGACCTCGCCCGCCGTGTACGTCGTGTCGGACACGAGGCAGACGACGACGAACTGGCCGACCTCGAGCTCGAGGTCCGGGACGATAACGGCGGGCGCGGCGGCCAGGTTGCCGGCCGCGGGCGACGTCGGCGCGACGTCGTCCTCGGACAGCATCCGGAAGTAGAGGCGGTACGCGGCCTGGCTGCTGTCGGAAAAGGTCGCTTTCGCCGGGCTCAGCGCTTCGAACTCGCCGGAGATCGTCTTTTGGCCCAGCTCGAGGCCGGGAATGAGCTTTCCGGCGACCTCCGGGGGTTCAAGCTTGCGGAGCCTGCTCTCAACGTCAAAGAAAGTCTTTTGGACTTTCGACGCCGCAGCATAGGTGACAATTGGCTCGCCGTTGTTGTGGCAGAGGCACAGCGGGTTGCTCCGTATCTGCGACGCCGAGTTTCCGGGACACGATGTTGTTGGTTTTGGACTTGTGGATTCTATGGGTCGCTTTCTTGTTCGCCGAACCCCAGGCGTTCCACAGGGCCTCGTCGTCGTCGGACGATCCGGCGTAGCGGTCGTCGCGATCGTCCCGCTTGATCTTCCGGTTGAGGCTTTTCTCCGCGCGCCGCTTGTCGGCGTCCTTCTCGATCTTCGCGAGGCGCGCGGCGTGGTCCGAGTCGGAGCCCGTGGAGCGCGACTCGCCCGTGGACGAGTTGTCGATGGTGATCTCGGTCTTGTTCTGCGTGGCCTGGAGCTGGGCCTGGAGCTGGGCCTGGGCCTGGGCCTGGGCGAGCTGCGCCTTGAGCGCCTCGATCTCCGCGTTCGGCCCCGGGGGCGTCTCCGTGGGCGGCTTGGGCACGGTCGTGGGCAGGGGCGGCGACGGGACCTGGGGCGTCGGCGGCGGCGTGCCGCTCGAGGGCGTCGTCTTGGGGGGCGCGCGCGGCGCGCCCTCGGGCGGCGGCGGCGCCGCGGCGCCCGCGGCGCCGAGGAGCCCGCCGAGCCCGGGCAGGTTCTGCACCTGGTTCTCGTCACCGACGATGTTCACGCCCATGCCGGACTGCGCCACCTTGACCTCGCCCATGATGTACGTCTTGCACTGATTGAACTTCCAAGCGTCGTCGTGCTTGGAGTTCAGGATCTTCATGATGTACCACTGGTGTTCGTCGGCGCGGTCGCCCGACACGAACGCGAGGCCTTCGAGCGACATGGAGATGTTGTCCGGGTTCGCGACGTAGCGGAGCATCAGCGACACGGAGGCGTGGACTTTGACGGCCATAATGATGTGTTTGGGTTTCAGAAAGCCTGTTTGAATGGCGCGATGCCTGAAATTTTGGCTGAAATTTTGACCGCTTCATTGTTTGATGTTGCCGTTTTCCCTTCGCTTGAAGTCCCAGAGGAGGACCACCTCGACGAAGCTTCCGGGCAGCAGGGAGGCCTCGGCCATCTGCGCGTCTCAGCAGGAGTGGCGGATTCACGCGGGCTCCGTCGATGTCCACCACCTCGTGAGATGCCACCTTTAGTGGTTCACTGTTTCCCTTCAGCATCACTGGCAGCTCCAACTCAGTCTCGACGCGTACGACGTCACCGGACGTCGTCCCGGAGCCGCGAGTCGGACGGCGCGCGGCTACCAGCGCGTACCCCCGAGCGTACAGCCGCGCGTCGTGCTCGCGTTTTTATACAACATCGGGCTGCGCGCGTTTTTGGGCCGACGGGCCGACGACGCGTCCGCGCCGCCGCGCGGTTCGAGCTTCGCGCGCGCAGCGCTCAGAACAGGCCGAACCAGCCCTTGGCGGCCTCCTTGCGCTCGTTCTTGATCTCGTCCTCGAGCGTATTGCGCTTCTGCTCGGCCGCGACGATGCGTTCGCGGTCGATCTTGTCTTGTTGACCTGGGCGCGGGGCGCGACGCGTCGCGAAGGAGCGAACGCGTCGCGAAGGAGCGAAGCGCGGACGAGGCGCGGGCGAGGCGCGCGGGCGCGAACGCGCGGAGGCGCGGGGGGCCGCGCGGCGGACGCGGGCGCGCGCCGAAGAGGTTCGAGAGCACGTTTTTCTTCTCCTCCTTGGACTGGACGACGAGGCTCACGTCGCCGGCGCGGACCTCGACGGCGCGCATGACGCGCTGCAGGCCGACGCCGCGCGTGGACCACATCTGGCCGCCGAACGTCGCGGAGGCCATCGCGATCGTGTCGCCGACCTTGACGCCGCCGATGGCCTCGGCGTTGCCGCCCTTGACGATCTCCTTGACGAAGACGTCGCCATTCGCGTCGTCGTCGAGGATGAGGCCGAGGGGCTTGGGGATCGTCACGGTGCGGTCCCCGCCGCCCGCCGCGCGGGCGGAGCGCTCGAAGTCCGTCAACCGGCCGGAGCTCTCACCGTTGAAGTTCTTGTTCGGCTGCCACGAGTGGACCGCGCTCGACGACGCGCGCACGGTCGTGCTCACTTTCGTGCTCACGAGGGCGCACCCCGTGGACAGGAAACCGACGAGCAGCGCGAGCTTCATTCTGACACGAGCTCTATAGCTTGAGCTGCCGTGGCGGCACCTTGGAGCCCGGCTCGATGTTGAGGCTCGTGGAGCCGTCGCCGCGCGGGCGCGGGCCGGACCTCATGGAAAATAGGATTACCCGGCGCTCAACGAACGCCGCCGAAGAATACCGCGTCCCGGAACAAGGAGGCGGCCGCTCCACGCCGCGCGGCGCTCCGCCGCGACGGACGGCGGCGATCGACGGCGCGGCGCTCCGCGCCGTCCGAGTCGGCCGGCGCGGCGCCGTCCGCGTCGTTCGGCGCGGCCGGCGCAGCGCTCCGCTGCGACGTCGCGCCGTCGATCGCCGCAGCGCGTCCTCGAGCGTGCCGACTCGTCCGCCTCCGACTCGTCCGCTGCTCGACTCGTCCTCGGCTTCGACGCGCTCGAGGCGCTCGAGGCGCTCGGCCTCGAGGCGCTCGGCCTCGCGGCGCTCGGCCCCGGCCGCGCGCGCGGCGGCCGTGAGGCGCTCGACCTCTGCGCGCCGCGCGTCCTCCTCCGCTGCGGCCGCCACGCGCGCCGCGCGGCCGCGCCGCGGCTCCAGGCGGTCCGCCGCGGCTGCGCCGCGCGCGTGCCTGCGTCGCGCCGGTGCTCGCGGAGCGTGCGCGGCGGCGGCGCACCGAGGCCGAGGCCGCGGACATCGAGCGCCGCTGCCGCGAGCGCGCCCGCGAGCAGAAGCGCGCCGCCGAGGAGCGCGCGGCGCGCGAGGCAGAAGCTGCCACCGAGCAGAAGCTGCCACGCGAGGCCGGCACGCAACATGTCGCCGCTCGACTCGTCCCGTGCGCCTTCGCGCCTCTTGCGCCTTCGCCTCCGGCCTTGGCCAGGCGGCAGCCAGCGAGTTTCGTGTCCATCGACGTGTCCATCGCGGCAGCTTCAGAGAGTGAAGGCAGTTTCGGCTTTGTTGTAGATACATGTTAACCCTTTTGGACGTCGTACGGTGTTTTTGGCAGCCTCTGCACGTCGCCTCCGCTCGGCGTAGAAGCCCTCGCGTCGCGGACCGAGGGGGCACCGGTGGCCCAAGACAGCCTCGCGTGACCCCCGTTGCCTACCAGGACGCCGCGCGTCGCGGCGCCGTCAATTTTTTCTTCGAGGGGGCCGCGTGGCAACTTGCGGGCCGTGTCCATCGACGAGAGGCGGTGTGCGAAACCGGCGCGGGATCCGGGACAACGGGGGCGCGGCCGAGGCGTCCCGCGCGTCGTCCATGTCACCTTGGACCACGACGGCGGGCGCCCGGCCGCTCCTTCGGAGCCGATCGCGGCCGGACGGGACCGGATCCCCGGGAGCCGCCGGGGCCCGGACGTTCCCGGGCGTCCCCCCCGCACGAGGGCCCGCCGCGGCGGGGCGTCGTCCGTCGAGCCCGTCTCGATGGCGACGGCCGTCGTCCCGTCGCGGCGCGAGGCGGGCGACGGGCGTCCGCGGGACCTTCGGGATCCTCCGGAGCCGTCCTCGGGCTCGTCCGGACTCGTCCGGGTGCCCGGGGCCTCGTGCCCGCCGCGACGGGGCGTCGTCCGTCGAGTCCGCCTCGATGGCGACGGCCGTCGTCCCGTCGCGGCGCGAGGCGGGCGACGGGCGTCCGCGGGACCTTCGGGATCCTCCGGAGCCGTCCTCGGACTCGTCCGGACTCGTCCGGACTCGTCCGGGGCCGTGCCTCCCGGCCGAGCCTCGCGGCCGATTCCCCGGTCGGCCCGACACCATCGTCGGGCGCCTGGTCGCTCCTTCGGAGCCGATCGCGGCCGGACGGGACCGGATCCCCGGGAGCCGTCGGAGCCCGGACGCTCCCGGGTGCACCCCCTGCACGAGGGCCCGCCTCGGCCTCGTCCGGCGGACTCGCGGGGAGCGACACTCTCCCCCCCGTCTCCTCCCTTCTCCACCATCGCTCGTTGGAAACACCCCACACAAAAACACATTCGCCCCGACATCAAACCCCACTCACGTAGGTAAAAGAGGCGATGCCGCGGATGGAGGACGAGGCGTCCCCCTTCCTCCGGGCCGAGGACCTCGAGGCGTCGCCGGCCCCGCCCGCCGCGAAGAAGAGCGCCTCCAAGGCGCCGCGCGTGCTCGTCGCCGGCGCGCTCGTGCTCGCGACCCTGGCGCTCGCGGGCTCGCGGTACCAGGACTCGCGGTCCACGTCCTCGAGCCTCCGCACCGTCGGCGCCGCGGCGCCCGCCGAGGAGAAGCAGATGGCCGCGGCGTCGTCGTCCGAGGAGGACGAGGACCCGCTCACGCTGTCGAAGCTGTCGTTCGGCTCGCCGCACGCCAAGAAGAACAAGGGCGGCGTCGTCGTCGCGGACGACAAGGGCGACGACGGCGACGGCGACGACGACGACGGCGACGACGGCGACGACGACGCCGACGACGAGACCGCCCCCCACTACTGCGACTACGACGACTTCCTCGTCAACCCGCCGACGAACTGCATCCCGCACGCGGGCGACGTCGGCGCGTGCGCCTCCCGGGTCCGCGAAAGCCCCGTCCCGCGGCGCCGACTTCACCCTGGGAACGATTCGAGAGGCAGGGACGGCGCGCGCGCGAACGTGAACGCCCTGTTGTCGTCGTCGTCGCTCACGAGGTCGACGACGCCCTCCATGGGCTGCCGACGCCGCTCCGGGCAGCCCTCGGCGCTCCGGGGAAGCGGTCTGCCCGGGATCGGGAGATCTCGGGGAGAGCTCACAAATCGCTCGAGGATTTGCTCAGAAATAACCCTTCGTCCTGGCAGGTGCGAGTGGTGCTCCATCAACTGCCTCGACGACGGCGACGACGACGGCAGCGACATGAAGGGCATCAAGCTCAAGACCTGCAAGTACTGCAAGCGCCACTGCGAGACGCCGGACAACACGGACGCGCCGACGTCCGCGCCGTCGGACCCGCCGACGACGTACGCGCCGACGACCGCGGCGCCGACGACGGCGGCGCCCTCGGGCAGCCACCCGCCGACGGAGGCGCCGACGTCGTCGCCGTCCTACACGCCGACCATGTCGCCGACGGTGCACCCGTCCCTGGCCCCCACGGCCGGGCCCACGGTCGTGCCGTCGCTCGCGCCGACGTCGACGCCGTCGTACCTGCCGACGGTCAACCCGACCTTCCCGCCGACGCCCCTGCCGACGACGACGCCGTCCTACGTGCCGTCGTCCGGGCCGACGCCCGTGCCGACGCCGAACCCCACGATCGTGCCCACGCCGATGCCCTCGCCCGAGTGCCCGGCGATGGAGTACGTCTACCGGCTCTGGCTCCTCGACGACGGCGGCGACGGCTGGGGCAACTGCGAGTACAGCGTCTACGCCGACAACGACGACGACTACGTCCTCGCCTCGGGCACGCTCGAGTCCGGCGAGTACGAGGTCATCTGGCTCTGCTTCACGGACGGCTGCTACACGGCCGAGGTCACGGACGACTGCAAGCACTCCTCGGAGATCTCGCTCCAGCTCGACGACGAGGAGGGCGGCAAGATGACCGTCGGCGCCGGCGTCACCTCCGACTTCTGCGTCTACGAGGGCACGTGGTACGACGCGCCCACGGCGTCGCCGTCGCGGCCCCCGACCTTCTACCCGACGGAGGAGCCCACGGCGCTGCCGTCGCCCAAGCCCACGCGCCGGCCGACCAAAATGCCCACCTCCGCGCCCTCGGAGATGCCCTCGAGCTACCCCACGGAGATGCCGACGCCGCGGCCGACGCGCCGGCCGACGAAGGTGCCGACCTCCGTGCCCTCCGAGGTCCCCTCGCCGCGCCCGACGTTCCGCCCGACCAAGGTGCCGAGCCCGGCGCGCACCGGCGCCCTTGGAAGACCTTCACACTTCGACTTTTACGGTGCCGGCGAGAGACGCGGACTTCGACGGAGAGAGACGCGGACTTCGCGAGACACTGGAACACTTGGAGAGAGGCAAGATCTTCACACTTTGACTCTACGGCGCGACTGAGAGAGACGGAGTTCGAGAGAGACGGAAGACTCACAGACCAGAGAGAGACGAAAAACTTAAAACTCCGAGAAAACTCACAACCACCCGCATAGGCTCCGACGCTCTACCCGTCGGAGGCGCCGACGGCCGTGCCGTCGACGGTGCCCTCGGGCATGCCCGTGCCGGCGCCGTCCGGCCTGCCGAGCCCCGTGCCCACGACGTACACGCCGACGTCCGCGCCGTCGGGCGCGCCCGAGCCGGCGCCGACGGCCGTCCCGAGCCCGCTCCCGACGCGCCGGCCCACGAAGATTCCCACGTCCTACCCGACGACCTATCCGTCGGAGCTACCGACCGCGGCGCCGTCCATCTACCCGACGCCGGAGCCCACGTACGCGCCGACGTCGCTGCCGTCCGAGGTCCCGACGCTCCTGCCGTCGCAGACGCCCTCGACGCTGCCGTCCATCGTGCCCAGCGTGCTCCCCTCGTCCATCCCGAGCCACGGGCCGACGGTGCTGCCGTCGTCGATCCCGTCGCTCGTCCCGTCGACGTCGCCGTCCAGCGAGCCGACGGCGACGCCGACCATGTACCCCACCTTCCTGCCGACGACGGAGCCCAGCGCCATGCCGACGCCGCTGCCGTCGCTGGACTGCCCCGGCGACGGCTACGTCTACAAGTTCCAGCTCTGGGACGCGGGCGGCGACGGCTGGGGCGACTGCGTCTTCTCCATCACGAACTCGTCGAGCCGCTTCTCCGAGAAGCAGACCGTCATCGAGGGCGGCATGGAGTCCGGCGCCTACGCCCAGTACTGGCAGTGCATGCAGGACGGCTGCTACGAGCTCGAGGTCACGTCGTCGTGCAAGCACGCGGGCGAGATCTCCATGGACATCTCGGACCGCTACAAGGAGAACCTCGAGTGCGAGGAGGCGCCCTGCGCGGACACGTTCTGCGTCTACGGCGGCCACTACTACGACGCGCCGACGCTGTCGCCGACGCTGCCGCCGACGTTCTACCCGACGGCGACGCCGAGCGAGCTGCCCACGTCCAAGCCCACGGAGATTCCCACGCCGCGGCCGACGCGCCGCCCGACGAAGATCCCGACGCCCGTGCCGTCCGTGCCGCCGACGTCCGCGCCGACCTACGAGCCGTCCGCGCTGCCGACGTCGAAGCCGACGCGCCGCCCGACGAAGATCCCCACCGCGGCGCCCTCCGCGGCGCCGAGCCCCAAGCCGACGCGCCGCCCGACGAACCTGCCGTCGCCCGCGCCCACGTCGAGCGTGCCCAGCGAGTACCCGAGCGCGTACCCGACGTCGCCGCCGAGCTACGCGCCCTCGAGCTACCCCTCGGAGGTCCCCAGCGCGCTCCCCGTGCCGGCGCCGACCGAGGAGCCCTCCGTGCAGCCCACGCCGGAGCCCAGCGGCATGCCCACGGCGGCGCCGAGCTACCCGCCGACGTTCTTGCCCACCGCGCACCCGTCGTTCCCGCCGTCGGCGACGCCGTCGACGCTGCCGTCGAATTGCCCCACGTCCTACCCCACGGAGGGCCCGTCGATCATTCCGTCGACCTACCCGTCGGAGGCGCCGACCTCCTACCCGTCGACCTACCCGACGTCGCTGCCCAGCGACCCGCCGAGCCTCGCGCCGACGGAGGTGCCGACCATGGCGCCGACGCCGCTGCCCTCGACGCTCCCGTCGCTCGTGCCGTCGCCGAGCCCGTCGTTCCCGCCGTCCGCGGCGCCGACGAACACGCCGACGAACCCGCCGTCGCCCGGGCCGACCTTCCCGCCGTCGACGGCGCCGACGGGCTCGCCGACGGCGCCGCCGTCCGCGGACCCCAGCGCGCTGCCGACGATCATGCCGAGCCCGAGCCCGTCCATCACCTGCCCCGACGGCAAGAGCCTGTACCGCCTCTGGATGTACGACGCCGGCGGCGACGGCTGGGGCGCGTGCCAGTACTCGATCACGAACAGCACCTACGACTTCACCGAGGCGACCGTCGTCATGTCGGGCACAGTGAAGACAAAAGAGCGAAATTCCAAACTTCAAAGCCTCATATCTCGGCCGTTTTCCACTCGTTTCGGCTGATTTTTGGACGAGCGATCATCTCTCGGAACGGTCTCGAAGCGTGGATGCTTGGTTTGGGACGCGCGCGCGCGAAACACTGACGTTGAATCACCCTTGTCCTGCCCAGGTCGGGCAAGCTCGACTCGGGCTACGTCTCGGACCAGTACTTCTGCATGGAGAACGGCTGCTACCAGATCGAGGTCACGGACTCGTGCACGCTGCCCGGCGAGATCTCGCTCCAGGTCGAGGACAGCGAGGGCGAGTACCTCGAGTGCATCGAGGCGCCGTGCTCCGACCACTTCTGCATGTATGACGGCCACTACTACGACGCGCCGACGCTGTCGCCGACGCTGCCGCCGACCTTCTACCCCACGGAGACGCCCTCGGAGCTGCCGACGCCCATCCCGGCGCCGGACCCGACGCCCGAGCCCAGCGTGACGCCCACGGGCTTCCCGTCCGCGGCGCCCGAGCCCGTGCCGACGGCGCTGCCGACGACGATCCCCACCGGGTACCCCACGGGCGCCCCCGTGCCGCACCCGACGCAGATCCCGACGACCATGCCGTCCGCGGCGCCCACGAAGATCCCCGAGCCCCAGCCGACGGACGCGCCTTTCCCGGCGCCGACGCTCCGGCCGACGGCCGAGCCCTCCAAGGCGCCCGTGCCCATCCCGACGTCCGGCCCGACCCTCGAGCCGTCGCCGGAGCCGTCCTTCGTGCCCACGGAGTCGCCGAGCTTCCTGCCCAGCATCGCTCCGACATCGCAGCCGTCCTACGTCCCGTCGTCGGGGCCGACGATCAACCCGACGCTCATGCCGACGCCCGACCCGACGGTCATGCCGTCCAAGATCCCGACGACGTACCCGTCCAAGGTCCCCACGGACGCGCCCACGGTCCACCCGTCCAAGGTGCCGACCATGACGCCCTCGTCGAAGCCCTCCGTGGCGCCGACGGACGGGCCGACGGCGCAGCCGTCGCCCGCGCCGTCCGGCCTCCCGTCGTCGCTGCCGTCCATGGCGCCGACGATGGTGCCCACGGACCACCCGTCGGCGCGCCCGTCCATCTCCTGCGCCGACGGCATGTCGCTCTACCGCCTCTGGATGTACGACGCGGGCGGCGACGGCTGGGGCGCGTGCCAGTACTCGATCACGAACTCGACGACGACGTTCGACGAGGAGGAGGTCGTCCTCTCCGGCTCCCTGGACACGGGCTACGTCTTCGACGAGTGGATCTGCATGCAGGACGGCTGCTACGAGCTCCAGGTCACCGACGACTGCTCCCACTCCGGCGAGATCTCCATGGAGATCTCCGACAAGCGCGGCGAGAAGCTCTACTGCGAGGACGCGCCCTGCGAGGAGAACTTCTGCATGTACAACGGCAAATACTACGACGCGCCGACGCTGTCGCCGTCCCTGCCGCCCACGCTCTACCCCACCGAGGCGCCGTCCTACACGCCGACGTCGACGCCGTCGGGCCTGCCCGTGCCGCTCCCGACGTCCGCGCCGACGGCCGTGCCCGTGCCGGAGCCCACGTACCGGCCCACGGCCCAGCCCTACCCGGCGCCCTCGGGCCTGCCCACGAGCCTGCCCACGGGCGTGCCGGCCCCGCTGCCCACCTACAGCCCCACGGAGGTCCCGAGCCCGCGGCCGACCCGTCGGAGACCGGAGTCGCGACTTTTTTCTTTTGCGCGCGGAGAGAACGCAGAGAGCCCTTGAGAGCAATTCGGAGAGCCTTTCAATTCGGAGAGCCTTTCGAGCAATTCAGAGAGCCTTTCTGAGCAACTCAGAGAGCGCTTTCTGAGCAACTCCGAGCGCTTTCTGAGCAACTCCGAGAGCCTTGTGTGCCTCTGCCGCGACTCGAGCGCCGCGCGCGCCGATCTCGCCGCCCGGAAACCCGGAGAACGCGGCAGCCGTAACACCGCGTCCCATCGCAGGCCGGCCCACGAAGCTTCCCACCTCGACGCCGACGACGATGCCCTACCCGGCGCCGACGATCGCGCCGAGCGAGATCCCGACGTCCAAGCCCACGTACGTGCCCACGCCGTACCCGAGCGCGCCGCCGACGGCGTACCCGTCGCCCAAGCCCACCGTGTTCCCGACGTCGAGCCCCACGTACATGCCGTCCGTGCCGCCGACGTCCGGCCCGTCCGAGTCGCCGACGTCCGCGCCGACGGCGGAGCCGACCAAGGAGCCCACGATGATCCCGACGTCGGAACCTACGATCTACCCGTCGACGCTGCCGTCCGCGGCGCCGTCGAGCCAGCCGACGCCGCTGCCCAGCGGCATGCCCACGAACCCGCCGTCCGCGGCGCCGACGGCGCTGCCGAGCGAGCCGCCGACGGGCATGCCGTCGCCCTATCCGACGTTCCTCCCGTCGTCCGAGCCCAGCGTGCCGCCGACGAGCAAGCCGTCGATCCCGCCGTCCGACGCGCCGACGCGCGTGCCGACGACGCTGCCGTCGCCCGAGCCCACGGAGAAGCCGAGCGCCCTGCCGACGTCGCGGCCGTCGCTCGTGCCCGTGCCCGAGCCGTCCGCGGCGCCGACGTTCGCGCCGTCGATCTCGTGCCCCGACGGCGAGTCCGTCTACCGCCTCTGGTTCATGGACTCGGGCGGCGACGGCTGGGGCACCTGCGACATGGTGCTCTACAACACGACGGGCTCCGTCATCCTCTCCGGCACGCTGTCGAGCGGCTACTCCTACGACGAGTGGGTCTGCATCGAGGACGGCACGTACGAGCTCGACGTCGCGTCGTCGTGCGAGGACGACAGCGTCTCGGAGATCTCCTTCAAGATGGTGGGCAAGGACGACTCGACGCTCTCGTGCGAGGAGGCGCCCTGCGAGGAGAGCCTCGCGCTCTACGAGGGCACGTACTACGACGCGCCCACGGTGTCGCCCTCGAGGCCGCCGACGCTCTACCCGACGCCGCGGCCGTCCGACGCGCCGAGCCCCGCGCCGACGGGCGTGCCCGTGCCCGCGCCGACGACCGTCCCCACGGAGCCGCCGACGCCCGAGCCCACGGAGGAGCCCTCCGCGCTGCCCATCTCCGCGCCGTCGGCGCTGCCGACGCCGAAGCCCTCGGAGAAGCCCAGCGCCGCTCCCACGAGCTTCCCGTCCGTGCCGCCGACGAGCCTGCCGTCGACGGTGCCCATGCCGCTGCCGACGACAAGACCGACGGCGGCGCCCATCCCGCTGCCGACGCAGGAGCCCTCGTCGGCGAAGCCGTCGAGCGCGCCTTCGGACAAGCCGACGCTCTCGCCGAGCCAGTGCCCCACGTCCAAGCCCACGGCCATGCCCCAGGCCGAGGCGCTGCAGATCTCGCCCACGTCCATGCCCCAGGCGTCCATCGTGCTCTCCGCGCCGACGTACACGCCGACGGCCGCCGCGGGCGACCCCACGCGGGCGCCCAGCGCGCTCCCCGGAGAGACGCGCAAACCCACCAGCGAAGGCCACGGCAGCATGCGCGTCGCGGCGTCCGACGTCGGTCGGTACTTCGGTCGGAACTTCAACCAAAAACGGCACCTTCATGTTGAATTTCAGCATCTTCATGTTGAAAGTCACATCTTGATATTGAAGTTCACATTGATGTTGACGTCCAACGCGCGCGCGCGGAACGCGCTGGATCTGACCCCGTCGCGCTTCGCAGGCCGGGACCTCCTCCGCCCCCCTGGGACGGCAACGGTGCTCCGACGTCGGAGCCCATCGCGTCGCCCACGGTCCGCGGCCGCGCGGGATCCAAAACTTCAAACCGAGGTGTTCGCGCGCGGTGACGATTTTGGTTTTTGGACGAGCCGTCGTCGCGCTGCGGTCCCCGGCGAGCGAGCGCGTCGCGCCAGCGAGCGCGTCGCGTCGCGCCGGCGAGCGAGCGCGTCGCCGCGGCGACCCGGGCGACCCGGAACGGAGACCGCGGCGCGATACGAGGCTTTGCCTCGCGCGCGGCGGCTCCGGCGGCTACCGTGCGCGCTCCTTCGGGATGTCGGCGCGGGATGCCTCGTCCGGGACGTCCGGCGAGCGAGCGCGTCGCGCTTGCTCGTCCGCGGGCGGATCCGAAGATCGCGATTCGCCTCGGAAATCTTCGTCGCGCGCGTTCTCTCACCTCGCGTTTCTTTCGCAGGTTTCGCCGACTGCGTCCTCGAAGACGCGAAAGCCGACGTCCGAGGGCCATGGATCCATGCCTGGACCTCCCCCGCCACCGCCCCCGGAGGACGATGACGTTTCCGCTACGACGGCCGCGCAGGACGACGACGTGTTCCTGGCTACGGAGACGCCCAAGCCGACGAGCCAAGGGACACGGAACGCTCCGGGACCGCCTCCCACCGCCGCCCCCGCCGACCGGCCAGCCGACGGAGGCGCCCTAGAGCACGCCGACCGAAAAAACCCCACCCCCACGGTCGACGCCCCCCAAAACTTACGCCGCGCTCGCGGTCCGCGCCCCGGACACCGAGCGCGCACGCCTTCTCCCCGGCGCTTTCTAATCACACCCTTTTGCACTCGTAATATACATCCTTTTTCGTCCTTTTGGCAGCCTTTTTGGCAGCCTTTTTGGCAGCCTTTTTGGCGTCCGCGGTGCCGCCTACGCGCGCTGGCGCTGTTGTTCGCAGCCGCGGCGTCGCGGCTGCGTCGGCGCGAGGCGGCGCTGCGGCGTCGACGCGACGGCGGCGGCGCGAAGCGGTGCGACGCGCGCGCGCGGACGACGCGGCGCCGCGAGCTCGCGCGCGCCGCGACGGACAGCGACGTGCCCGCAGCTCGCGGCGTAGCACGACCGCGACGCGCAGCTCGCGCGGGACGCGGACCTCGAGGCGGCGCGGCGCGACCGCGAAGCGCAGCTCGCGGCGTGACCGTCGCGGGCCTCGCATCGAGGCGGAGCGGCGCCACCCAAACCCGAGGGGAGCTCGAGCTCGCCGCAGAGCAAGCACCGACAGCTCCGCGCCCGCACGACCGCCCGCGCCGTGCGCCGCGCGCCGCGCCGACAGCTCGACCGGCGCCGACTGCTCCGCGCGGCGCGACCGCTTCGAGCGGTCCGACAGCACCGCACTTCGCGCCGCATCGCGTCGCGCGCCGCCGGACAACAGGCGCGATGGCCTGGGGCTCCGGCGCGGGCGACGAGAACTTGGCGGACGTCGTCTTCGACTTCGAGCCCTTCATCGCCGACATCCTGCCGGCCCTCAACGCGACGGGCCACCACCAGTCCGCGGCCGCGCGCAAGGCCGCCATCGACAAGGCCTCGGTGTCCGCGCCGGAGGGCATGTCGCGCCAGAAGCTCGACGAGAAGCGCGGCGCCGGCGTCCCGACAGGTCGCCCGCGCCGTCGATGTCGTCCGTGATAGGTACCGCACGATCGTCTGCCGCCACTGGCTCCGCGGCCTCTGCATGAAGGGCGAGACCTGCGAGTTCTTGCACCAATACGACATGTCGCGCATGCCCGTGTGCCGCTGGGGCGACCAGTGCAAGGTCAAGGACTGCCCCTACAAGCACGTCAACGAGGCGGACCAGCCCCAGTGCGTCTTCTACCAGCAGGGCTTCTGCGAGTTCCGGCGCGCGTCACTCTTTCGCCGTCGCGCGAGTCGTTGCCGTAGGCATCCACGGCACGCAGTGCAAGTACCGCCACTACAAGCAGGCGCCCGACAAGCGCCCGCTCATCGCGGACTTCTCCCTCGGCATCCGCCAGGACGGCCGCGGCTTCGCGGAGGCCACCGCGGCGCGCCGGAGGCCCGACAAACCCGGGCCCCGGCCGGCGTACTAAGTCCGCTTAGAAGCCCTGGCCTTCGATAGGCGAGAGTCGCTTGTACACAGCGCCAAACTGCGGAGATTACCCGGCTTGCGGGGTCAGCACGCGGCTAGAGGTGATCGCACGGCGCCGTCGGCGCGCCGGTCGCGCTCCGCTACGCGCGGCGGCGCCACCTTTCCAGGGCGTCCTCGAGGTCGCCGCCGGGCTCGAGGTAGCCCGTGGCCGCGAGCTGCTCGCGCGCGAGCGACTCCTATTTCACGCGCATCCGGTGCCTGGCGCCCTTGAACCAGTAGTTGACCTGCGTCGCGTCGAGGCCCGTCTTCACCATGAGCTGCTCCTTCTCCTGCCGCGTCGGGTACGGGTTGTCGAAGTGCGTGCTGAGCCACTCCTTGAGGATCGACACCGCGTCCGGGGTGTGCTGGTGGCTCGGCTTTAGATTGGGGCCGGCTCGGACGCGGCACTCTTTCCCCCTTCTCCTCTCGTTCTTGAACCAGTGGTTGACCTGCGCCGCGTCGAGGCCCGTCTTCGCCATGAGTTGCTCCTTCTCCTGCCGCGTCGGGTACGGGTTGTCGAAGTGCGTGCTGAGCCACTCCTTGAGGATCGACACCACGTCCGGGGGAAACGGGTGATGGCTCGGTTTTAGATCGGGGCGTCGCAGATCCTGATCCAGAGCTGCGATGTCTTTCGCGAGCTGTCTGCACTCGGCGAGATGCTCAGCCCTCTTCTTGTTGTTTCGCTCGCGAAGCGCCTCGACCGACGTCAGGAGGTCCGTCACGCTGTCCTCGCAGCTGCTAATGTGTGCTTGGATGAGTTCGAGCTTGCCCTTGAACGAGTTGAGCTCATCGAAGGCAACCGTTCCGTCGGCCTCGTATTTCACGCACACGAGGAGCCCGGCGACGCCCGGCGACCGCCTCGGCGTCGCCTGCGCGCGGCAGTCCGGGCAGAGCCACGCGGCGCCCGGCGCCGGGAACTCGCGGAGGCCGACGCACTCGAGGTGGAACCAGCTCCGCCCGGAGCCGCACGCGTCCCGCCGGTCGCACTGGACCATGCGCCCGCCGCCGTCGCCGCCGCAGACGCAGTAGCCCCCCGAGTCCTCGGAGACCTCGTCGCCGTCGCCCGGGAGGCCCGCCTCGCCGTAGTCGCGGCGGCCGGGCCGAGTGGGTCCCCACAAGAGGCGCACGTTCTTCTGGACGCGCGCGCGGCCCGCGTCGTCGAGCGCGGCGCCGTAGAGCGCGCGGCCGGCGCGCACCGTCGCGCGACGATGCGCCGCGCAGCGCCGCCTTGAGCGCCGCGAGCGGCGGCGCGCCCGCCGACGACAACCGCGCGTTATAAGCTTGCCGCGCGACGCGCGTCGCGGCGAGATTTGATGCGCTGATCCGAGGGCGTCACCAGCGGCCGTGGCGCATGTTCGGTCTCAGCAGGCCCCCAGACTCCATGCTCCGGGCTGCTGCCCTGGTTAACGTTGACCTTCAATGCCGCATAAACGCGGCATCACTGAAGCCGCAAGCTTGCAGAGCGCGGCCACGATCGCAAGTTGATCCTCGATAAAGCGACGCGCACGACGTGCAAGCTGCTGCGCGCGCCCCCCAAAACACCCCCCGTGCATCGATGACGTCGCCACACATCCTAAGCAAAGTCCTGCTGCTTTTGGCGCTGTCCGCGCCGGCGTTTATCGACGCGTTCAGCGCTTCCGCGATGTCGCACCGCCGACGAGCCGCCGGCGCGCGGTCCATGTACCCCCAGACGTCCGGGGCCTACCCCGGAGACACGCCGCGGGCTGCCGGTGCCCTGAGCGCCTGGGACGCCGTCGGCCGGCTCCACCGGCGACGAGCCGCCGGCGCGCTGTCGATGTACCCGCAGTCGGCCTCCGCGGCCTACCCCGGGGACACGGCGCGGGGCGCCGGGGCCGCCATGAGCGCCTGGGACGCCGCGGCGCCCGTCGGTCTCCTGCATCCGGAGACCATCGCCCATTTGGTCGACTCGTTCGGCAAGGAGGTCTTCGAGAGCGACCCCGTCATGCGCGACTTCCTCGCGGACTTCGACCTGGGCGGGCCCATGTTCGCCATGAAACACCTCTCCAACTCGCACGTCACGAGCCGCCTCGTCGCCATGACGGCCTCGCTGAGATGAGGCGCCGCGACCTCGAAAACCGCCCGCCCTGTGCCCCCCGGGCGCCGCCGCCGCCTCGCGCGCGGAGCCCTTCGCCCCTGTGTGTCCCTCGTCGTCGATGTGCCCACAGCCACCACAGGTCCTTCGCAGTAAGGATTTTGTTCGCTTATTTGTCGATCGCAACGTCCCCGCGGGAGCGACTCGGATCGTTATCTGTGGTCGGCTGTCGGCGCGCGCGTGCCACTCGCGGACGCTCTCCCGCAGCTCGCGTACCTCGGGCAGGGCGGCTCCCGGCGGCGTTCGTCCCGCCGGCCCGCGCCCGGATCTGGAAGTCCGGCCGCGGCGGCCGGGCGCGCACCGCGCGGTGGCCAGGGCGCGACTAGTACGGGACGACGTCGCTGCGTCTGCACAAGCCAGCCGCGGGACTGCTGGAGGCGCCGTCCGGGACGGCTCCATCCCGAGGCTTCCGCTAGGCTTCACTGGGCGAATCGCAACATCGATGTTGCTGTCTCCAAAACTTCCTGGCAAGTCCGCCTGGGGGCGCCACAGCTTTAGCAGGTCGGCCGCAGACTTTAGCGTCTCGCAGCACTAAGTGAGCACTCAGAGTCATATCACTCAGTCAGGTTGTGGCACCGCTTGTTCGAATGCCTTCAGCATGTCGTGGGACGGCTGTGCGCGCGAGGAATTCGCGCGCGACATTGTCTGCGCGTCGTCCTAAGCCTTCAAAGACGCGCATGATATGATCCCCGAAACTGAGCGTGTATGAGGGGGTTGCGGGTGGGGCGAAGGTGTGCGCGCGCCCTCCCAAGGGTATGCAACGCGCTCGTCGGCCACGTGCGCTCGTGCGCCTCTCGAGATTTGAACGCGCGCGCGTCCGTCGAAAACGCAGCGGTGCACGCGTCTGCGGTTCCAGCATCGTTTGTAGACTATATTAGGCCGTGCGGAGCGCTTCTACTCTCTCTGGGAGCGCTCATAGACCGCAAGCAAGTCCTTGCCTCGGCCTACAAGCGAGATTCAGCATGAAAGTACCCGCGCTGCCGCGCTGTCCGCCGCGTCGGGCGTGCCCCGGGGCCACGGGGGGGTGGTTCTGAGGGCCGAGGGGGGTCCTTGGGGGCTCCCCGAAGATCCAAACTATGTCAAACGGAGTCGATGGCCGCGTGTAAAGGTCGTTTTACGGGGACGGCTATGGTGGGCTCGGCTTCGAAACACCAAAATCTCTCCTTCGTGCGGGTTCTGGACGCGACCGAGCTAGTCCTGGTGGTCGTAGAGGTCCGTGTGGACGCTCGAGGCCTCGGCGAGGTCGCTCACGTCGTGGGAGCTCCTCGCGGGCCGTCCGAACGTCTGCGCCGACCGAGTCGTCCGCGGGTCCCGTGGGCAAGTAGGTGGCTGGACAGCGCCTCTCGGTCAGAAGCTGCGCGGCGTGCCACGCGCTCGGCGGCACGCCCGCGTGCGATCGTGTACCGCGCGCTGGTCGAGAGCTTCTTCGCGTCAGTCGCCGGGAAATCGTCTCGCGCGCTGAGAAAGTCGGGCGCGCGCGCGCGTAGAGTTGACAGAGCGCTGGAGCGTCGGGAGGCGCCCCTCCAGGGCCGCGGCGGCCGCGTGTCGCCGTATTTCAGCACGCTGCCGCGATTACTCGTAGGACTTGCAGTACCGACGGCGGAGCTGTCGACGCCTGAGCTGTCTACGGCGCTTTCGGGTGCGCTCGAAGGCTAAGATACGTGGTTTTGGCCAGGGATGACCACTCGCGTCGTCGCGCGCGGCGGGCCGCCGTGCGAATTTCAATCGACGCGCCCTGGCGCCGGCCCGGGTGTCGCTTTATGCCCCCGGGTCGACGCAGCGACGTTGGGTCTATGTTTCAAAAACAGCGACGATCTTCGTTCGCGCCGCGCGCGCGCGGGGTCGTCGAGCCACATTTCGAGAGGAAGCCGCGCTCCGTTCGCGGTTCTTAGACCACTCGACGACGCGTCTCGTCGCGCTTCGAGTTCGTTCCTATGGCAGCTCGCCCCCCGGCGGCGACTGAAATTCGCCCGTAACGACGTCGGTGCATGCTGAATCTCGCTTGTACCAAGGACGGCCTGAGCGCGGCGCGCGGCGCGCAGGGCGCGCTCAACGACGAGTCCATCGAGTGCTTCGGCGGCCAGGAGACGCTCGTCGAGCTACGCGAGGAGCGGTCCCGCGGTCCGGCGCGCGTCCGCGGCCGCGCGGCCGCCCCAGGCAACGATGACGTCCTCGTCGAGGTCGCGCAAGCGGGCGCTCTCGGAGTCGGAGCCGGCCTCCGCGAGCTACGCGAGGAGCGGTCCCGCGGTCCGGCGCGCGTCCGCGGCCGCGCGGCCGCCCCAGGCAACGATGACGTCCTCGTCGAGGTCGCGCAAGCGGGCGCTCGTCGCGCTCGTCGCGCTGGCGGTCCTCGGGAGGACCGCGCACGCGGACTCCTTGCCGACGGCGGCGCCGTCGACGGCGGCGCCTTCGACGGCGGCGCCTTCGACGGCGGCGCCGTCGACGCTCCTGCCGACGCCACTGCCGTCGCCTTTTCCGACGACGGCCACTCCGTCGCCGCGGCCTAGCGTGCCACCGACGACCTCGACCGCTCCGTCCTCGGCGCCGAGCGCGAGCCCGTCGCCCGCACCGAGCAGCGCGCCGTACGAATCGAACCATCGAAGCCTGGCCTCCGGGTCTGGGCCGACGGCGTCCCCCGTTCCTTCGCCGCGGCGCGCGCCTTACATCCTTCACCGCAGGTCCGTCGTCCCGACCGCGGCGCCTATGCCCGCGCCGACGCGCGGCCCGACGCCGCTCCCGACGGCGCTCCCGAGCGGCCGGCCGTCGCCGGCGCCGACGCCCGTGCCCGAGCCCGTGCCGAGCTGTGTGGAAATCAACCAGTGAGCTGGGACGTCGGGGCCAAACTTCAGAAATCTCTAGCTCGGTCAAATCGAAGTCGATTCGGCTGATTTTTTGGACGAATCGATTGCTCTCGTCGAGTTCTCGAAGCACAGCGAAATAGTCTGGTCCAAACCGTTCGATTACGCGCACATTGAAGTCGGATTCAAGATTTGATTTCCACACAGGTGCCGAGCGCGGCGCCGACGTTGCCGCCGACCTTCCATCCGACGGCGGTCTGCGGCGAGGACGTGCTCGACGCGTGGGCCCTCGCGACGTCCTTCGAGGACGGCTGGGGCGAGTGGTCCGGCGGCGAGACGTACGACTCGTCCGACGGCTGGTCCTGCGACGGCTTCGACCGCTGCTGGAGCCGGGCCCGCGAGTCCAACGCCGACGGCGACGCGACGGGCGCGACGGCGCCGTCCGACGGCTCCTGGTGGGCCTTCGTGGAGAGCAGCAACGACGGCTGGCAGTCGGCGGACCCGGACGACTCGCACCCGAGCAAGCGCTTCATCCTGCGGTCGCCGCCCTTCCCCGCGAGCCTCGGCGACGGCTCGGGCCTGCTCTGGCCGCCGAGCTGCGAGCTCGCGCTCGCCTTCGACTACGCCATGTACGGCGCGGACGTCGGCGAATTGAGCCTCGTCGCCACGGGCTGCTTCGACGACGACGCCGCGGACTGCAGCGACTGCTTCGACGCGGCGGCCTGCGCGCTGACCTGCGGCGCCTGCGGCGACGCCGACGCGGAGACGACGCTCTGGTCCGCGTCGGGCGACCAGGGCGACGCGTGGTTCTCGACGCTCGTGGAGGTGCCGACCTGTGCCGGAAACAGCCAGTGGTTTGGGACGTCCCGACCAAACTTCAAACCTCTCTCTAGCTCGGTCAAATCGAAGTCGATTCGGCTGATTTTTGGACGAATCGATTGCTCTCGTCGAGTTCTCGAAGCAGAGCGAAAGAGTCTGAAACCGTTCGATTACGTTGAAGTCGGCTTGAAGATTTGATTTCCACGCAGGTCCCGACGGGCACGGCGACGCTCGAGTTCGTCGCGGTGACGGGCGCGGGCGCGCTGAGCGACTTCGCCCTCGACTTCGTGCGCCTCGCGCCGTCGCCGTCGCCCGCGCCGACGGCGACGGCCTACCCGACCGCGGGGCCGTCGCCGACGCCGACGCCGGCGCCGTCGGCGTCGCCGACGGCGCCGCCGTCCGCCGCGCCGACGCCCCTGCCCGAGCCCGCGCCGTCGCCGGCGCCGTCCTTCAACCCGTCGCCGGCGCCGTCGCTGCGGCCCTCGCCGGCGCCGTCCGCGTCGCCGTCGCCCGCGCCGTCGGCCGCGCCGATCCCCGCGCCGTCGCCGTCGCCGACCCACGCGCCGACGCCCGCGCCGACGATGTTCCTCGAGCCGACGCCCGCGCCGTCGGCGACGCCGTCGCTCATGCCGACGTCGTCCCCGGGCTCCGGCGGCGGCTCCGGCGGCGGCCCGGGCGCGGGCTTCGCCGTCGGCATCGCGCTCGGCGTCATCGGGTTCCTGGCCTGCTGCGGAGCCGAGAAACGGTGATTCACGCTTCGCGAGTATGACTTCCCCGAGAGACCGCTCTGAGAGACCACTCCGAGAGACCACTGCTCGAGAGACCGCTCCGAGAGACCGCTCCGAGAGACCGCTCCGAGAGACCGCTCCGAGAGACCGCTCCGAGAGACCGCTCCGAGAGACCGCTCCGAGAGACCGCTTCGAGAGACCGCTTCGAGAGACCGCTCCGAGAGACGATCTAACATCGCACGAATCGAAATTCCCGCCTTTCCTAGGCCTGCTGCGTCGCCGGCTGCGTCGGCTACCGCGTCTACACGGACAAGACCGACGCGCCGCCGTCCAAGTACGCGGCCCAGGAGTCCAAGGACGAGGAGCGCGGGTCCTTCGACAACGGGCGGCCGCCCGAGTACGAGCTGCGCCAGTTCGTGCGCGACGCGCCGGACGGGCCGCGGCCGCCGGCGGGCCGCTGGTCCGAGGAGGACGCGCTCCTGCGCGGCTGCGTCGACGCCGACGCCGAATTGCTGATGGACGACCCCACGGACAGCGTGTCCGTGGACCTCGTCGACGGCGAGCGGCCCGCGGGGCTCCTCGACTCGACGGAGGGCTGGCCCCTCGAGGTCCTCGCCTTCGCGCGGCGCGCCGAGGACGGCGGCTCGCCGCCGCCGCGGTCGAGCGTCGAGGCGATCCGCGCGGACGCGCGGTCCCAGAGCGACCGGGGCCGGACGTCGCGGACGTCGTCGGCGTCCCAGGACGACGGGGCGACCTACGACCGCCTCGTGCAGCCCCGGCCCCGCGCGCCGACGCGCGAGTCGGACCCGCCGTCGCCGCCGCCGCCGCCGCCGCCGCCGCCGCCGCTGCGGACGTCGTCGCCGCGGTCGGCGGCGCCGCGGTCGCCGCGGTCGCCGCGGTCGCCGCGGCGCCGCGCGGCGACGGCCGTCGGCGACTTCGACGTGACGCACATGATCGGCAAGGGCGCCTTCGGGCGCGTGCTCCTGGCGTCGAAGCGGTCCGGGAGCGAGCGCGGCCGCGCGTTCGCCGTCAAGGTGCTCGACAAGGAGGTCGTCCGCGCGACGGGCCAGGCGGCGCACACGCGCGCGGAGCGCGAGACCCTGGCGTCGCTGCGCCACCCCTTCGTCGTGCGCCTGCGCTACGCGTTCCAGTCCAAGGAGCGGCTCTACCTCGTCACGGACTTCTACGCGGGCGGCAGCCTCGAGCGCCACATGGACGACGCGCACCCGACGGGCCTGGGCGACGCGCGGACGGAGTTCTACGCGGCGCAGCTCGTGTCGGCGCTGCGCCACTGCCACGCCGCGGGCGTCGTGCACCGCGACATCAAGCCGGGCAACGTCCTCGTCGACAGCCGGGGCTACTGCGCGCTGACGGATTTCGGGCTCTGCGCGCTGGGCGTCCTCGAGGACGGCGCGCCGCTGCGGTCCTTCTGCGGCACCGTGACCTACATGGGGCCCGAGCTCCTCGTGGGCCAGGCCTACGGCACGTCCGTCGACTTCTGGGCCCTCGGCGCGCTCGTCTTCGAGATGGCGTCGGGCCGGCCGCCGTTCGAGGACGCGAACCGGCGGCGCATGTTCTACGCGATCCTGCACCTGCCGCCGCCCTTTCCTTTGGACTTCTCCAACGAGTTGATCGATTTGCTGAGCGGGCTGTTGGAGAAGCGGCCGGAGCGGCGCCTCGGCGTGAAGCGGCCCACCCCAAAACCGAAGCCCGACGAGGCGAAGACGCCGTCGAAGAAGAAGCGCAAGCCGTCCGTGCTCGGCGCGTTGCTCTCGCGGTCGTCGTCGCGGGGCGCCGGCGACGACGGCCCCGACGAGGCCGCGGCGCCGGGCGACGGCGACGACGGCGACGACCGCTTCTCCCGGGGCGACGACGAGCTCAAGCGGTCCGCGTATTTCGCGAACGTCGACTGGGCGGCGCTCGTCGCGCGCCAGCTCGCGCCGCCCTGGGTGCCGAACCTCGTCGACGACCACGACATCGCCTACGTGCCCAAGAAGGTCGCGGACCGGCGCTCCGCGAGCCTACAGGACGAGTTCCGCGACGACGGCCTCCCGGCGTCGCGCGGCGGCGAGGCGCGCATCTCGCGCCAGACGGCGTCCTTCCAGATCGACGACGACAACGCCGACGCGTCGGCCGTGCGCCGCCTGCGCCAGCAGAACCCCTGGGCCGACTTCAGCTTCGCGGCGCCGCCGCGCGGCGAGACCGTCGCCGCGCGCGCGCCCGTGGACATGATCCGGCCGCCGCCCGCGCCGCCGCGCGAGCGGAAGAAGGACCGCGCGCGGTCGCCCGCGAACGCGTCGTAAAGCAATTCGGGAGCCATGACGCGGCGGGCGTGTCTCTGGCAATTTTAAGCGATCTCGAAAAGCGACCCCCGGCAAAACGAGCTGCTTCTTGACCTCAATTAAAATACCATCCGCATTGTCAAGGCACGACCGCAGCCTCGTCGCGCCGCGCGCCCCCCCCACGTCGCTCGCCATGTCCTCCGCTGACTGTCTCGCGATGCTCAAGGGGCGCGAGGACCTGCTCGTGAACCGGCGCGAGTCTCCGGCCAAGGTCGAGAAGCTCAAGAAAGTCCGCTTGGCCATCGCCGCGCTCGAGGGCCGCCTCCCGACGCGCTCCCCGTCGCGCTCCCGGTCGCGCTCCCGCGGCCGCCGCCGCCGCCGCCGCTCCCGCTCCCGCTCCTCGAACGCGCCCCCGTGGGAGACGGAGGACGACCGCTGGCTCCGCAAGCAGAACGAAAAGATGGTCCGCGAAATGGAGGCGATCCACAAGCAACAGCAGCAGATCGACCGCGACGACCTCGATCGTTTGCGCCAGAGGTTCCGCTAGGCGAAGGGCCGCATCGTCATGGTCTACGGCGCGCGCCGCTAGAGCGCGCGCTACGACCGCCGGCCGCCTTCGCGCGTGGCGTATCCAGCCGGAATCCCGCGCGCTCTCCCCCACGACCCCCGACTACGACTCCACTAAGCACAAGCCTCACACAATCAGGGAGCCTCGGCCGCGACGACGCGCGACACGCAGCCGAGGCGCTCGCCGAGGGACGTGAGCTTCCCGGCGAGCGCGGCGAGGTCGCCCTCAAGGTCGACGATCTCGTCCCGGAACATGCGCCCGACGGGGCTGCCATCGTTTCGGTCGGGGTGGCTGCGTCGCGCGTCGCTCTCCGAGCCGCTGCGCCGGCTCTCCGAGCCGCTGCGTCGGCTTTCCGACCGTTCGAAGAAGGACGAGGCGTAGCCCGCGGACGGCGGCGCGCTCCCGGCGGACGGCGGCGCGCTCGCGGCGTCGCTCGGGCTCGCGGCGTCGCTCGAGCCATAGCTCCCCGCGGCCCAGTCGTCGACGCGGACGCCGCTCGACGGCGTCCGCGCGCGCCGCGACTTCGGGCTCCCGAAGTGCATGCCGGACACGGGCTTCCGCCGCCGCTCCGGCGACGCGGGCCTCGGCCGCTCGGGCGACTCCCAGGGCGCCGGGCTCCGCGGCGACCGCGCGCCGCCCCAGGGCGGCCGCGCCTTGCGCGGCCGCGGCGACGACCGCGGCGACGTCGGCGACGACGTCATGGAAATCATGCGGCCCGGCGAGCAGGGCTTGAGGGACACGGGCGACGCGTAGGCCCGGGGCACGAAGCCGCTGCGGTCCGCGTCGTCGGCGACGGTGACGAGCATCCAGCCGTCGGCGCCTCGGGCCTCGAGCTCCGGCGTGGATTCGACGATCTCGCCCTTGCGCACCGTGAGCTCCGTCTTCGGGTCCTCGGCGAAGAAGTCGTAGACGACGACGAAGGTGCGGCTCAGGCGCTTGCGCGCCGCCTTCGCCAGCGCCTCGGCGGCGGCGCGGGCTGCGGCCTCGGCCTCGGCGCGCTCCTTGGCCAGCGCCGCGGCCTCGGCCTCGCGCCGCTTCGCGATTCGCTCGGCGGCCACGAGGGCCGCGCGCATGCTCATGGCGTGCTAGCGATGAGGCGACGCTGGGACGGAGCGGCCGGGCAGCCCGCTCTCACGACGCGGCCATGCTGATAACAGCTCGCACGGCACCATCGACATCTTGACTTTGGAGATCGTGCGATGGCGGAGCCATCCGCAGCTACGAGTACCCCAGCCATCCGCATCTTGCACGAAGACGACCACATCGTCGTCGTCGACAAACCCACAAACTTGTTGAGCGTGCCCGGGCGCCACCCGGACGCGCCGCCGCCGACAAAGAAGCGGCGGCGCGTCGCCGAGTTCTGGGTCGAGGCGCTCGAGGCGTCGCGCGCGTCGTCGCCGCCGGAGTCGCTGGCGGCGAAGCTGCTCGGCGTCGGCGACCCGTCGTCCGTGCCGCGGCGCCGCGACAAGTTCGGCCGCGCCGTCGCGCGCGCGAAGGGCCGCTGCGGCGAAACCTCCGAGGCGGACGTCGACGCGCTGTGGGCGGCGCTCGACGGCGACGCGCGGGCCCGCGAGCGCGCGGAGCACGGCGACGACGCGCCGAGCGCGCTGTCGCTGGCGCGCGCGGCCGTTGGCCTGCCGGACCTGCGCGTCGTCCACCGCCTCGACTTCGAGACGAGCGGCGTGCTCGTGTTCGCGAAGACGTCCGCCGCGGCCGCGGCGCTCTGCGCGTCCTTCCGCGCCGACGCCGCGGAGGCGAGCGGCGCCGCGGCGACCGCCGCGGCGCCGAAGATGCGCAAGGTCTACGTCGCCGCGGTCCGCGGGGAATTGGCCGGCTCCGGCGAGTGGGCCTGGCCGCTCGCGCCCGACGACGCCGCGCGCGCGGCGGACGGCAAGCCGCGCTACGCCGCCTGCGACGCCGGCGCGCCGGGCGCCAAGGCCGCGACGACGCTCTGGGAGGCCGCGGGCGCCTCGCGGCTCCGCCTCCGGCCGCAGACGGGGCGGTCGCACCAGCTCCGCGTCCACTGCCTCGCCGCGGGCCACCCCATCGTCGGCGACCCGCTCTACGGCCCGCCGCCGGCGGACCACGAGCCGCGCCTCTGCCTCCACGCCGCGGAGCTCGACCTCACGCACCCGGGCACGGGAGACCGCGTCACCTTCGCCTCGCCCGCGCCGTTTTAGTTAACCGTGGCAGTCCGCCCGCGCCTTCGCGAGGCGCGCGTCGAAGAGTTTCTCGGCGGCGCGGTAGAGCCGCGTGTCCGCGTCGCTGTAGTCGTCCAATCGCGAGACCGCGGCCGCGTTGTAGGTGCCGACGTTCGTCCGCAGGCCCGCGCCGCGCACGGCCGCGCCGCGGAACGTCCGGTTGAAGAGTTCGAGCGACTCCGCCCAGCGGTCCGTAAGCCCGACGAACGCGAAGCAGTCGCGGAGCCGCCGCCTCGCCTCGGACGCGTTGAGCCGCTTCTCCGCGACGTCGTCGTAGCGGCCGAAGCCCAGGATCATCTTCGTCTGGACGTTCTGGACGCTCCGAATCCGCGCGTAGTCGACGAGCCCGTCGCCCTCGGGCAGCCCTCGGATCCGCGCGCAGTCGTGGTGGTGCGGCACGCCCATGAGGTAGCACGGTTTCGGACCTTCCGGGAGCCTTCCACCTCCCACGAGCGATCCTCGCGCCGGCCGGTTCACGCCGCCGCCGGGCCGGAAGTGGAACGCCGAGAGCAGGCGGCGCCGCGGTTCCCGCAGGAACGCGAGCGCGGTACCGCAGAACTCGGGCCGGTAGCTCACGTGCTCCCTGAACGACGTTTCGTCGAACGCGCGCTCGCACTTGCCCTCCTCGACCTTGAGCCGGACCTGGCGCGACGAGAAGACGAGCTCGTTGGCGCCCGGCTGGCGGCTCCGCGGGCAGGCGTAGTCGCTGAGGTGCAGCCGGAAGGTCGTGCCGGTCTTCGGCGCATGCATCCAAAACAAAGGCCGGCCGCGCGGCTCCCACTGGTCGCAGCCGGCGTCGCAGGCGCCGACGAGCGCGGCGAAGGCAGCGCGGCGCATGGACTTTTTAGCTATATGCTACAGATGCTGCCAAGATGGGCTGCCATTGGCACGTGATTGCGTCGTTGCAGTGAACTTACACAGATCTTGCCGGTCGCCGAATTGCCCACTGCTCGTCCGGCCGGACCACACCGAGCGCGCGTCGACACAAAAAAGTCACTCCGCAAGCGCGCGCGCGCGCAATCAAGTCCACTCCGAGTAGCGGCACTCCTGTGCTAACGTACAGTCCATTCCGCAAGCGCGCGCGCGCGCAATACAGTCACTGCGACGACCGGCAACCTCGACAGCATGGGCAGCGCTCAAAAAGCCGGCGACGCGAAGTCGCGCCGGCCGTCGTGGAACTTCCTCCTCGTGGAGAGCAGCGGCGACCTGCGCAACGACGTCGTCGCGCTCCGCGAGCAGTGCCCGAAGGACACGAGCCTCACCGCGTCGAAGATCTCGGCGCGCTGCTCCATCTCGTCAGTGTGGGACGGCGCCATGTGGGAGGACCACCACTCGACGTGGCGCTACTATCGCAACCTCGCGCGCATCCACAAGTCCACGGTCTTCCGGAGCGTCTGGCCCTTCGTCGCCGCCATGGTCGTCTACTCGCTGCTCGTGCAGTACTTCTGCACGGCGCAGCTGTCGCTCGGGACGCGGTCGTCGCAGGCGTCGTCGATCGGGCTCCTCCTCGTCTTCCGCACGAACCAGGCCGCCGCGCGCGCGCTCGAGGGCCGCCGCGTGCTGGGCACGATCAAGCGCCAGGCGACGTCCATCGCGGCGCTGCTCCGGACCTGCGGCGCGGACGCGGCGGTCGTCGACGTAGCGTCGCGCTACTGCGCGCTCGCGGTCTGGGCCGTCAAGGGCGCGGTCCGCCGCGGCGGCGACGAGGCGAGCCGCTTCGCCTACGAGAGCCTGCTCCCGGCGAGGGAGAAGCGCTGGGTGGCCAAGCACCAGGGCTTCGACGACCGCGTGAGCCCGTCGACGGTCGCGCTGCGGCTCCGCTACGCGGTCCGCGAGGCGACGTCCTGCGCCGTGACGCGCGATCGCCTCGAGGCGGCCGTCGAGGAGCTCCAGTCGGCCTACGGCGGCTGCGACCGGTTGTACACGACGCCCATCCCGCCGGGCTACCTCCGCCACATCAGCCGGTCGCTAGTGATCTGGCTCGCGCTGCTCCCGTTCTCGATCGCGTCGTCCCACTCGCCGGCGACGCTGTCGGTGACCGTGTCCGTGACGTCCTACCTCCTCCTGGGCATCGACAACATCGCGACGCAGATCGAGGAGGTCTTCTCCGTGCTGCCCATCCACGAGCTCGCGCTGTCCACGTCCGCGCACGTCGCCGCCATCGCGGACGGGCCCGCGCCGCCGGCGCTCGTCGAGCCCGCCGCGCCGCCGGTCCTCCGCGTTGCCGGCGACGCGGAGCGCGCGCGCCTCGAGGCCCTGCGGCGCGAGGCGGCGGCCGCCGAGGCGCCGGCCAGGTCCGCGCCGCCGGGCCTCCCGAAGGCCTTCCCGAGCCCGGGCCGCGGCGTCGCCGAGCGCGTGGCCGAGCAGGTCCTCGAGCCGGAGTCGGACTGAGCATCTACTAGTAAGATCCGGGTCAAGGCGCACGTTAGTCGCGCCGGCGGTTGCGGAAGAAGCCGCCGATGAAGGGCCGCGCGGCCGCGGCGCAGGTCGCGAGGGCCGCCGGCGCGGCGCACTTGCGGAGCAAGTTTCCCGCCGGCGAGTGGCCCGCGTCGCCCTTGGCGAAGTAGGGCGCGACGTCGAGGCCCCGGTGCCGCGTGACGGCGAGCGCGCGGTGCGCGGCGCGGCGCGCCGAGTCCGCGAAGAGCGCGTCCGCGGACTCGTCGTCGGCGCCGTCGTCGAGGGCCGCCTCCTTGGCGTCCATGGGGTCGCACTCGAAGAGGAGGAGGAAGTGGTTGCCCTGGTCGAGCTGGTGCTCGACGGACAGGTTCGGGAACCGCGAGTCGCAGCTGAGGATGTGGACCGGCGGGTAGCGCCGGTCGAACTTGGGCGAGCCGAACTCGGCGATGCACTGGAGGCACCAGCGCGGGCTCGGCGCGCCCTCGTCGCCGCCGTCGTCCGGCGGCGGCGGCGCGCACGACGGCGGGTCCGCGCGCGCCCAGAGGAGCTCGTAGACGTGGATGGGCCGGCGCAGCGCGTTGGACAGGGCCACGATCTCCGGCCCGCCGCCCCAGGCGTGGGGCTCGCGGAGCTTCGCGCAGTACTGGGCCGGCGTGAGCTCGGACTGTTCAGCCGCGAGGCTCAGCAGCTTCGACGCGCGGAGCCGCTCGCGGTCGCCCATGTAGAGCCGCGGGTCCCGCGCGTCCTCGAGGACGTCGATGGCCGTGGCGCGCAGCTTCAGCGACTGGCCGCGCAGCGTGCGCCGCTCCATGGGGTGGTGGCTCCCGTTGACCGCGCGCCAGAGGCCCGCGCTGAGCGCGTGGAAGAGGCACGCGCCGTCGCCCGGCACCTGGCGCGCGCGCATGTAGCAGCGCGTGCGCGCGCGCACGATGGGCCGGGCCGCCGGCGGCTCCGGCGCCGGGGGCGGCGCCGCGGCGTCGTCGGCGGCGTCGTCCTCCGCCTCGTCGGGCTCGTCGGGCGCGTAGTCGAGCACGGGCAGCAGGTCGCGCAGGAAGCCGCGCGAGTCGATGAGCGGGGCGCTGAGGGGTTGCCAGCTGCTCTTGGGTGAGGCGTGAGTGTAGGTGGTGGCGAGTGCCAGCATGCACGCGCAAAGCCGAGGCGCCATCATCGTGCTGCAACCGGCTCGGCTCAGCGACTTTTGGTCGCTTGAAGCTGTTTCTGTTCGGCGCGCGCGCGCGCGGTCGTCTCCAAGGCGCCAACTTCTTGAGCGCCGGCAGCTACGCGTCGGGGTGCTCCCTGCGAAGTTTCGGGCGCAGCAGCTGCGATTCCGGAGCGATGCGATGCCGTGTTTTTCTGGCCGTCGACGACGCTTCTAGCCGGCTTCTCGCGCGTCCGCTTGGCCCGGCGAGCCACGCGTCCGAGCCTCGCGCCCTTTCGCATCGGAGTACGCGATTGCGTCTGGCGCGGGCGGTCTCGGAGCCTAGTTGAAGTTCCGTACTTCTGAAGGTGAACTAGTTCCCGTGGAAGCGATGAAGGCAGTCCTCGGCGTGAACAGCCGCCCGGCCATGACGCTGTTCGGCGCCGCCGCGGCGCTCTTGTCAGTCACCACCTCCGCCTACGCCCCCGGCTCCCTGCGGCTGCGGCCCCGGCGCCTCGCGGCGCCCCGCGTCCTCGCGGAGGACCAGGACGTCTACGCCGACGCGAACTACGACGAGTCCCGGGACGGCACGTGGGAGCCGCCGGAGTTCGAGGAGAACCGGCAGGCGGCGCGGAAGCGGCGGGAGCGGTTCTCGCCCATGGACAAGAAGGGCGACGCGCGCCGCAAGCTCCTCGACGCGCAGCGCGCGTTCAAGCGGAGCCAGGCCAAGCCCGCGTACCTGCCGCCCGTCGCCGAGGCGGCGCTCGAGAACGCGACGACGGGCGCGTGGTTCCCCGGCGTCGTGCGGTCCCTCAAGCCCCACGGCGCCTGGGTGAGCATCGGGTCCGAGGTCGACGGCTTCGTCCACTGCCGCGACATGTCCGACTCGTCGTTCGTCGGCGACGCGCGCGACGCGCTGCGCGTCGGCGACGAGGTCGACTGCTGCGTCAAGGGCGCCGACGCGGCGAAGCGCGTCCTGTCGCTGAGCCTGTTGCAGGTGGAGGCGCCCGAGGACGCCGCGGGCCGCGCGCCCGTCAAGGCCTTCGCGGTGGACCAGCTCCTCGAGAACGTCGAGGTCGCGCGCGTCACGGAGCACGCGGCGTTCGTGGACGTCGGCGCGGCCGTGCCCGCCTACCTGCACGTCGCCGACATCGGCCTGCTGCCGCGGACCAAGGTCGGCGCCGCGCGCGTGCCGCGCCTGCGCCTGGAGAAGGCGGGCCAGGTCATCGACAAGTGCTGGGTCAAGTCCGTCGACATCGCCCGGGACCGCCTCCGCCTGAGCCTCGTGCCCCCGGAGGAGCGCGACGACTGGACCCTCTACGGCGCGCGCTCGAAGCGCGACGAGCCGCGCGTCGTCGACGACCGCGACGACTTCGAAGCCTAGGCCGCCGTCCCTCCTAACCCCTCGTTCTTCGACTCCGTCATTAGCGTCGCGCGTCGGGAGTCGGGCGCGTGGGGGCGCGCTCAGAGGCGGGGGCGGCGGAGCGGGGCGCCGCGGCGGAGGCGGCGGTGCGCGTGGGCGTAGCGCGCGAGGTGGTCCGCGGGGAACTGGCCGCGGTCGCCCGAGTAGCGGCCGATCTGCGTCTCGAGGCCGTCGACGAGGGACGGGCGCGGCGCGCTCGGCGACCGCGAGCGGCTGCGGCTGCGGCTGCGGCGGACGTGCTTCGGGAGGCCGTCGGTGTCGTAGCCGTCGCTCGCGTACTCCGCGGCGTCGGACGCGTAGTCCGAGTCGAAGGAGTCGACGCGGCGCATGGACGCGAGGCCCCCGGGGACGCGCATGGTCACGCCGCGGCCGGGCGCGGGCGTCGGCGCGCGCGGCGGCGGCGCGGCCTCGCGCGTCGGCGCGGCCTCGCGCGTCGGCGCGGCCTCGCGCGTCGGCCCCGTCGGCGTGACGATGGCCGCGGCGCCGAAGGCCGACGCCGCGCCGCCGAAGGCCGACGCCGCGCCGCCGAAGGCCGACGCCGCGCCGCCGAAGGCCACGGCCGCGCCGGCCGACGCGGCGGCGCCCGGCCCCACGGCCACGGCGCCGGCGGCGATGCGCATGCCGCCGCGCTCGCGCACCTCGACCGTGACGCCGTCGCCGGCGGAGATGCTCACGCTGCCGTAGGTGCGGCGCACGGTGCCGACGCGCGCGCCGTTGGAGTCGGTGAGGATGTAGGAGCGCTGGGACATGGCGAGGGGCGCAGGAGAACGGCGGGGGCTGTGACAAGGGTGGAGCTCGATCCGAGGGCAGCCCCCCGGTAAATAAAGCGGTGTTGGCCTGCATCCGGCGTCAACTTCGAGCTCTTCAGGCGGCGAGCTGGGCTCGCAGCTCCCACCTGCGCCTCCGCGGCGACCAGCGCAACACTGCTTGTTTGTGGTTGGCTTTCAATCGCAACCATGTCGACGACGGAGGACAAGATCAAGGAGCTCGAGGCGGAGTACGCGCGCACGCAGAAGAACAAAGCGACGGAGACGCACCTCGGCCTCATCAAGGCCAAGCTCGCGAAGCTGCGGCGAGAGCTCGAGACGCAGGGCGGCAAGGGCGGCGGCGGCGGCGGCGAGGGCTTCGACGTCAAGAAGGTCGGCGACACGCGCGTGGGCCTCGTGGGCTTCCCCTCCGTGGGCAAGTCGACGCTGCTGACGACGCTCACGGGCACCAAGTCCGAGGCCGCGGCGTACGAGTTCACGACGCTCACCGCGATCCCGGGTACGATGAAGTACCGCGGCGCGCGGATCCAGGTGCTGGACCTGCCGGGCATCATCGAGGGCGCGGCGACGGGCAAGGGCCGCGGCCGCCAGGTCATCTCCGCCGCGCGGACCTGCGACCTCATCATGATCGTGCTCGACGCCGGCAAGCCCGTCACGCACAAGTTCCTCATCGAGCGCGAGCTGCACAACTTCGGCATCCGCCTCAACGAGGAGCCGCCGCGCGTGACGATCCGCAAGAAGGACAACGGCGGCGTCGAGTTCCAGTGGCTCTGCCCGCAGACCCAGGGCATGAACACGGAGGTCGCGACGCGGATCATGAAGGAGTACCGCATCATGTGCGCGTCCGTGACGGTCCGCGAGGACATCAGCATGGACCAGTTCATCGACGCCTGCGACGGCAAGCGCACCTACATCCCCTGCCTCTACGTCATGAACAAGATCGACTCGATCACCATCGAGGAGCTCGACATCATCGACGAGCTGCCCAACTACGTGCCCATCTCGTCGCGCGACAACTGGAACATCGACGACCTCATGGAGAACATCTGGCAGCAGTGCAACATGATGCGCGTCTACACCAAGCCCAAGGGCCAGGTGCCCGACTACGACGAGCCCGTCGTGCTCCACGCGTCGAACCCGACGGTGGAGCAGTTCTGCAACCGCATCCACAAGGCCATCATGCCCCTCTTCAAATACGCCTGGGTCTGGGGCTCCTCCGTGAGGCACCAGCCCCAGAAGGTCGGCAAGGACCACGTCCTCGCCGACGAGGACGTCATCCAGGTCATCAAGGGCGTCTAGCGGGTAAAACGTTACTTGGTCCACGCGACGACGGCCGTCCCGGGCCCGCCGAGCGACGCGCCGCCGGCCGTGTGCTTGTCGCCGGGCCCGCAGTCGCGCTCGCGCACCTTGGCGAAGCCCGCGGGCTCGAGGAGGCCCGCGACGAGCGGCTTGGACATGGCGTAGGGCGGGCCGCCCGCTTTGTCGCAGATGGGGAACACGCAGGTGATCAGCGATCCGCCGGGCGCGAGCAGCGCGCGGTGCTTCGCCGCCCACTTCGCGCGCACGGACGGTGAAAGCGCGCACAGGAACGTCGCGTCCCACACCAAATCGTAGGGCGTTTTCTCGTCGAGCGCGAAGAAGTCGGCGCAGACGAGTTCGACCTTCGACGCGGCGGCGTCGCCCGTGGACGCGAGCTCGGCCTTCGCCGCGGCGACGGCGGACGGCGACAGGTCCACGGCGACGACGGCGTCGAAGCCGTGCCGCGCGAGCGCCAGAGCGTCGTACGCGCGGCCGCAGCCGGGCACGAGCGCGCGCGCGCCGGGCTTCGGCGCCGGCACGCTCCGGAGCTCGGAGACGAGGCTCGGGCTCGCCTCGCCGCAGTCGAAGGCCGCGCCTTTCGGCAGGCCGCCCTTCCACATGCGCTCCCAGTGCGGCGACGCGCCGGCGTGCGACATGGCCGCGGCGGCGCGCTGCGCGACGATGAGGCGCAGGAGGAGCGCGATTTTTTCGGCAGCAGCGCTGGGTTTGCAGCGATGCGTATAACAGCGCGTCGCTTTCGGCAGCGATGGCAGCGACGCGACGTCGCGACGCCTGACGCAGCAGCAGTCGGTGCAGGCGCCGAGAGAGGGTCAACAAAGGTTCACAAAACCAATGTTGCCGGCGCTGCCCGCCAATCGACGTCGACATGGCAGCCCTCGACGCCGCGCCGCGGCGCTTGGAGACCATGCTCGTGGAGGACGCGCTGCCCTGGCTCAAGGAGTTCAAGGACCCCGGCGAGGCGCGGTCCTCCTGGGCGACCTGGGACGGCGCCACGCCGGCGGAGCGCGCCGCGGCGGCCAAGTGGATCCGCGGCTGGGCCGAGGGCGACGAGGTCGCCTACGTGAAGGAGGCCATGGGCTGCCTCGACCCCATGATCGCGGCGTCGTTCGCGGCGGACGTCATCCCGCCGCTCCGGCGCTGGGCCGCGTCCGTGCTTCTGGACGTCTTCGGGTCCAAAGAGGACCTCGCGGAGTGCGTCGAGACGGCGGACCGCCCCAAGTTCGCGGCCGCGTCGCCGACGCTGGCCCAGTTCTCCAAGTTCGAGGCCTTCGACGACCTCTGGAGCGGCGACGAGAGCCGCGCGGACGAGCTGCTCGAGTGGCTCGCGCCGGCCGCGACCGTCGCCGGGGCGGACGTCGCCGCCGTCCACGAGATCCTGTGCCGCTGGGTCGTGGCGACGGCCGTCGCCGAGGTCGTCCACGCCCACTGCGCCAAGGAGGCCGCGCCCAAGGAGGCCGCGGCCGCCGCGCGCAAGTCGCTCCTCGACAAGGCCGCGTCGATGCGCGGGGCCCTCGCGGGCCGCGACGACGACGACGACGACGACGACGACGACGACGCCGAGTGGAGCGACGACGACGCGCCCGACGCGGCGGCGGTCCCCGCGGCGGCGCCGGTCCCCGCGGCGGCGCCGGCGCGGGAGGCGGCGACGAGCGCGGAGGAGGCGCCGTCGCCGGCGAGCGCGGCGGCGCCGTCGCCGGCGTCGGAGGCCGCGACGCGCGAGCCGCCGGAGCCGGCGGCACCTCCGGACGACGCGCCGCCGTCGCGCGCGCCGCGGAAGGCTTTGCCCGCCGCCGACGCGCCGCGGCACGCGACGGCCGTGGGCGCGTTCTACGAGACGGACACGAACGACGCGACGACGCGCCACAACCGGGGCTACGACGCGCTCGATCGGGAGACGTTTCGCCTTTTACAGAGCCTGCGGCCCGACACGGACGCGAAGGCGCGGCGCGCGGCGCTCCGCCAGGCGCTCGTCGAGCACGTCGCGTCCATGCGGGCGCGGGCCCTCGTCGCGGAGGCGACGTTCCGCGAGGCGTCGCTCGGCGTGAACATCGCGCTCGCGCGCTACGGCGACGTCGGCCGCCGCTTCGTCGTCGTCGACGAGACGAAGCGCGACTCCGAGGCCTTTGATGTGGTCAAACCCGGCGACGAGCTCGTGGCCGTCAACGGCGCCATGGTCGTCGACCCGGACGCGTCGACCATCGCCGAGCTCATCGAGCTCATCGCGAACGCGCCGCGGCCGCTCGTGGCGACGTTCGTCGAGGGCGAGGACCGCGAGGCGCTCTTCGCCAGCCAGGAGGCGACGCGCGGGCCGGCCCGGGCGCCCAAGAAGACGACGAAAAAATTCAAGCTCGCGGCGAAGAACATCTACGCGCCGCCCGACGACGCGTTTCTCGTCGTCGTCGACCGCGACGGCGTCTATCGGGGCTACGTCGCCGCCGACGGGTCCACGGTCAAGGACGCCAAGGGGGCGCTGCTGGGCAGCATCGACGCGGCCCTCGGCGTCGCGACGGACGCCAAGGGCGTGCTCCTGGGCAAGGTCGCGGTGACCGCGGGCGACGATTCGACGGTCGCGCTCGACTCGGCGAAGGGGACGAGGCTCGGCTACGCGGACATGGGCCGGTCGGCCGTGCTCGACGCGGACCGGAACACGGTGCTCGAGATCGACGGCGCCGGCGAGGCGCGGGGGCACGACGGCCTCTTCGTGGGCGCGTTCCTCGACTTCGACTACTCGAAGACGCGGCTCGTCGCGTTCCTCTTCCTCCTCGTCGCGCCGAAGCTCCTCCAGGAGAAGCGCAAGTCCGTCTTCCGCGCCATCCGCAAGTCCGCGGCCAAGGCCACGGGCGCCCACGGCATGTTCGCCAAGGGGGCGTAAAGCGTATCTTCAAGTTGCTTTGCAACAATGAAGTGTTGCATGCTCTCAGCTGCTGGGAGCGCGATCGGCGTCGACGCGCATCATGCCGCGGCAGAGCGGCAAGAAGAAGCAGAAGAAGAAGGCGGAGGCGCCGCCGGCGCCGCCGGGCGCGCCGCTGGACCCGCACGCGCCGCCGCCGCCGGGCGCCGTGACCGACGAGGGCGTGAGCGTCGAGTTCCTCGAGAACTTCGGCCTCGAGGTCAAGGGCAAGCTCAAGCGGCGCGGCGACACCGTCAAGTTCGCGCAGATGCACAAGGGCGGCGTCCGGCACCACGTCGGCTGCGTCGTCTGCGGGCTCAACGAGGACGCGCTGGTCTACAAGGCCTGCGCGCGGTGCAACTCGCGCCAGTACTGCTCCGTGCGCTGCCAGACGGCGGACTGGAAGTGCCTCGGCCATCGCGCCGCGTGCAAGGACCGGGCGGAGCACGTCGCGGCTGGCGCGCGCGAGACGCTCACGTCGCTGGTCACGGGGGAAAAGGGTCCCGCGACGCGCGTGCTCTCCGACGACGCGGAGCACCGCCGGACCGAGGGGACGGCGGCGCTGGGCGAGGGCCGCCACGAGGACGCGCTCAATCACTATTTGTTCGCCGTGAGCGCGGCCCACGGCGCCGTCGAGCGCGCGCGGAGCGACGGCGACGAGGAGTGCGAGTGGCGCGCGCGGCGCATCGCCGCCATCGCGGCGACGAACATCTCCATCGTGCTGCGGCGCGAGGCCGAGGCGGCCCTGGGCGTCGCCCCCGCGGCGAAGCAGCCCTGCTCGTTGTGTCCGTCGTCCAAGGACATGGCGGACATGACCGTCGCCGTCGCGCTGTCCTACGCGCGCGAGGCGCGGCGCTTCGACGACACCTACGCGCTCAAGGCCATCCAGTCCGAGCACCGCCTCCTGAAGCGCCAGCTGGCGTCCTTCCCGGACTACAAGGGCGCCTTTTTATACCCGGACAAGGCCGCCGACACCTGCGAGTACCTCGGCCACGTCGTCGACCACGTCCAATCGGGCGTGAAGTTCCGCGGCCCCGGCAGCGAGAACGTCGCGCTGCTGCAGGCCGAGTACCTGTCCCTCAAGTCCTACGCGCGCCTCGAGGAGCAGCGCTTCGAGGACACGATGGCCAAGTCCGAGGCGTCCCTGTTCTGGGCCCCGAGGCGGCCGTTCCGCCGCCCGCCGCGCCGCGACTCGTCGCGGCCGCCGGCCGAGTGGCTGTCGCTGCCGGGCTGGGGCGTCGCGAGCGTGGAGATCTCCCTCGTGCCCATGCGCGAGCAGATATGGATCGCGCTGTCGCTCAAGACGGTGACGCACGACGACGTCGCCATGTCCGTGCGCCTCCGCTGCGCGGACCGCCACGCCGATTGCGACTGCGTCACCATCGACGACGACCGCCACCTCAGCAGGGGCGACCAGGCCCTCGGCATGGCCAACACCAAGTCCCGGTCCCGCGTCGGCACGCGGCTCGCGCACAGGAACGCCGAGCGCCACCTCCTCGAATTCGTCGGCGACTGCGCCGCGCGGGGCGTCGACGTCGTCTCCGTCGTGCTCGGCTGCGGCTGCTTCGGACTCCACCCCGTCGAGAACGCGAACGTCGACGCGGCGCTTCCCGACGTCACGTTCATCTACGCGAACAACCACGTCATGACGGACATGCGCCTCGGCCTCGGCGACGAGTCCGGGGAGATGACTCGGGCGATCGCGGCCGCGGAGCACGCCATGATGGACCTGAGGATAGCGAACTTGTAGCCTCGGCACGGGATGTGCTTTTAACTTCGAACGGGGATCTCAGGCTCAACAACGCCGCTATGGCGGCGCGGGCGGGTGGGTCACGGTGGCACAGGGCGACGGCGTCGGAGTCTTCGCCGGACGTCGTCCGCTGCGCCGGCGAGTCCTCCGGCGAGCCTCCCGGGGTCCGGCGGCGGCCGGCGCACTGTGCGGCCGGGCGCCGCGCAGGGCGCCGCGCGGGCGCCGGCGCGCCGCGCGCGCCCGCGGGCGCGCCTCGGGGTGCGCACGCTGCCCGCGGCTACGCTGAACCCGAGTCGCGCGTCGCCATCGACGAACCCAGACAGTAGTCGTGCGCGCACC